CAAGTGGGGACGCACCAGCCATAGGCCCCCAGGAAGGAGCAGCAGAGGCTGGAGACCCTGGGCACCTGCCCTTAGGGTGGGGCCGACAGCAGAGCTTTATTCCAGGACCCCCGGCTCTGGGAGGCGTGGGTAGAGTCACAGCTGCAGTATAACAGGATCCCCCACCGAGAGAGCAGCCTGCGAACAGGAGGCCCCTGCCACCCCGTGACAGTGACGCTCCCCTGGAAAATGTGACTTCGGTCTTATACGCGTGCCAGCAAGCTGGCGCAGCCAGTGACAGCATCTGTTGCTATGATCATAGACTTGCTCCCTGTCGGCCAAGGAGGCAGGACTTAACTCAGTGGCCGGTCTTCAGAGCCGGGGGACAGGCCGACTGGTTTGAGAAGCCCCGGGAGGCGGGGGGACACTGCCCACGGTGGGGCCAGGGCTGCCGGGAAGCATCCTCAGCGCCTGGAGGACCGTCCTGGCCTTTCAGACGGCAGGTCCATGGCAAGAATGTGGGAAGCAGAGGCACCGTGGCCAGGTCTGCCCCGGCCCTCCTGCTGGAGGAGGGCGTTGAGGGGTGGGAGCAGCCGCGGCCCCCCCGGAGCCGCTGCCCCTCGTCGGTACGGTGACTGCGGTGCAGGTCTGCTGGGGCGGAATCCTTCCCGCCCTGGGCCCTCTGACCAGCTCCTCTCTCACCTTTGGTGTTGAAAGCGCCTTTTGCTGGGCATGGAATCTAGGTTAACAGTTTTCCCATGTAGGACCTTGAAGGTGCTGTTCCCGGGTCCTCTGGCGTTGCTGACTCCGAGGAGAACCGGCTTCCCTTTGCTCCTCAATGTGCAATGGATGGTCTTTTCCCCTCTGGCTGCTTTTAAGATTTTCTCTTTATCACTGATTTTAAGTGACGTGGTTTTGAGGTGCTTTGGTGTAGTTTTCTTTGTCTCTTCTGCTTGGAGTTTGTTGGACTTCCTGAACTTGTGGATGTATAGTTCTCATCAAATGTGGAAATGCTCTATGGCCATTATTTTCCAGTGTTTTCTGTCTCCTCCCCTCCACCCTGCCCTCTGCCTCGGTGCCCTCTGGGACCCCTGTACACTTGGATTGGACCTTCGAAGTTGACCCGCAGCCTCTGAAGCTCAAATCCTGGTCTTTCAGTCTCTCTCTGCAGGTCATTTTGGATCGGTTCTCCTGATGTCTTCAAGTTCACTGGTCTTCTCTCCATAGTGTCTAATCTGCTATTAATCCATCCTGGGTACTTTTCATCTTAAACATTGAGTTGTTTCATCTCCTGTGGTTCAATTTGGTGTTTTTAAAAACATACCTCCCGTGTCTCTATATAACTTTTTGAACATATAGAATGCAGTTATAATTCTTGCCATGTTGATAGCTGCCAGTTCTAACATCTGTATCCACTTTGGCTTAGTTTTCACAGATTTTATTTTTTTCATGAGGGTCATTATTTTTCTGTTTATTAGTGTGTCTTGTAATTTTTCATTGGATAGCAGATCATTTAATGCTGTGGAGTGCTGAAGTTTGATTTTTTTTTCCTTTAACTACTTCGGAGCCTTGTTCTGGGATGCGGTGAAGTTGCCTGGAAACCATGTAACGCTTTGGGCTTGCTGTTGAGCTCTGTCAGGCGGCCCGCGCAGCACAGTGGCTGGGGGAGGGGTCGGCCGCTGCCTGCCTCCCGGGACGCAGGCACGCACCCTGGTTCCTGTGCTGCCCGGGGCTGCTCTCTGCCCTGCAGCCTGAAATAGTTACCTCCTGGCCTTTACAGAAAAAGCCTGCAGCCCCTGTCGCGCCTGTGGGCTGCTCCTCGGCGGTGCCCTCCTGAGGCTGCCCTGCAGGCCCTGCGGGGACATGGCAGCCCTGCCTCCCTGTGAGCCGGCACTGCCCCAGCTTCGGTGCCCTCCCATGCGCGCGCGGCACCGTCTCCAGCTGCAGGCTCGGGGGCACCCTCTGCCGTCTCTGGCACTAGCTCAGTGCGGCCCTGTCTGCTCAGCTTGGGGAGATGGCCGCACCCCGCAGCCCCGCCGCGCCGCGGCCTGGAGGGTGCTGGGGCAGCCCCGCAGCTTGCCTCGCTGTTTCCTCCTCTTAGGGAGCCCTGCGCTTGCTGGGCTACCTATGGGCTCTGGCCTCATAGATTTTGCCTGGTTTTTTATTGTTAGGGCAAGAAGGTAAGCACAGGCTCTGTTCTGCTGCCGTGGCTGGAAGCAGAGGCTGAATCCTGCGGCTGATGGCCGTTGTCTCATCTGTCTCAGCCCTTAGGACCACCTGCGGCCTGCCCTGCGCAGTTTCCATGGGGCGCTGCCTTCCGGCCGCCTGCCAGCTGGCATGGGGGGCGGGGGAGCAGGAGGCGGCGGGCAATGGTCCCGGGTTGTCCACCCCGGAGGGTGCGGTGGGTCTGGCGTGATGAGGAGGGTGCAGGAGAACAGCAGCCCCTGTCTGCTGAGCCAGCTGGGCACTGCGGCAGCCGTGCGGGGTGGGAGCTGGTGTCGCCTTGCCTGAGGTCGTCACAGATCTTCCCAGAGGACAGTCTGAGGTCTGCACCACCACCCAGGAAAGGCGCAGGGAGTTGGGGAATCCCGTGGCTGGGACAGCCGTGGGCGGCACACCAACCTTCCCCATTTCATAGATGAGGAAACTGAAACTCGGAGAGGGACGTGGCTCACCCAACGCCATACCATGGCCTGGAGCCCGCAGCTCCAGCCCTGGTCCTGCTATGTCCTCGCCAGGAGTCAGACTGCTCCCAGGGCCGAGGGGGGCGGCACTCACCCCAGTGCCCCGGGCCATGCCGCCAGCGCCAGCAGCAGCAGGCTTCAGGCGTGTCTGTTGGGGGCGGTGGCCACAGGTGGGGGTTGCTGCCTCGCTGTGGCTCAGACCCCGCGCTCCTGGCTCGAGCTGCCCCTCCTCCTCCCGCAAGCGCCAGATGGGGAGGTGCTCGCGGTGGGGCGGCGGGACCTGGGCCAGCTGCCCTGTCCGCCCTCCCACTGGCTCGAGGTGAGACCTAGGGCTGGTCCCCTCCCCTCCGGACCACATTGTCAGCATCTCTCAAGTGGAGGTGGATGCTCACCCACTCCAAGGATATGTCAGGGATCCTCAAACCGCCAGGGGGTGGGTGGGGCATTAGAGGAGGCCCGAGAGCAGCCCTGGCCTTGTGCAGAGTGGTGGGGCCCTCGGACCCAGGACCCAGGAGGAGGCAGGACGCGGATCCCTCTGATGCGGGTGTGCGGCCAGGGGCGGGGCCGGGGGGCGGAGCTTGCACGTGTTGCACAACCCCTGCCACCACCCCTGGAGACGTGGGGAGGCTGTGGGTATGAGGAGCACTCATGCCCAGCGCTGACCCCAGTCCCCGCGACGTCCCCTCCGCTGCGGCCTGGCACAGCCCCCCTCTGTCGCCCCGGCCACCCTCCCGCCTCCACTCCGCTGCCCTCTGGGAACCTGCATGGTGTCCGTGCTGTCTGGCCCTGTTCTGCGGCAGCATCTTCGAGGGGAGGCTTTCCTGTGGTTCAGGCCCTGGGGCCGCCGGGCTCCCTCCTTCCCTCGGGAACTGGCCTGTGTGACCTGTACAGGCTCGGGCTGTGGGACCGGGGCCGCCCGCCAGCCCCACGGCGACGCAGACCTAGAGTACAGAGCACGCACACCCCTGCCACCCCCACCCCGTCGGAACAGTGCCCGCCCTGGGGCCGCAAGGAGCGAGCGTCGGAGCCGGGACCCAGGTCGCCCGCCTCTTGTCCTGTGTGGTCTTCCCCCACACGCCGGGCCCTTCTCCCATCCCAGCCTGCTCTCTGCCTCCCCCGCGGCTGTGGCCCTGGCCTTGCCCGGCGCTCGGGTATGCGGCCGCTGTTCGCCCCCAGGCGGGGCCCGTGGCCTCGGATGTGGGAACTGACAGACTGAGCGAGCCAGGCCCACATCCACACTGGCAGGCGGCAGAACGAGGGTCCCCACTTAGCTGGGCCCAGACAGGCTCTGCCCTGGACAAGCGCGCACGGTCACAGGCAGGGGAGTGCCCCCCGCCCCCCCGTGCCTCGGTCTCCTCCTTGGTGAGGCGAGAAGACCGCTGCTCTGCAGCGTGTCTGCGAGGACTGAACAGGCAGCGGTCGCCAGGCTCATTAGACACCCTCACGCAGCCCAAGGCCTGTGCCCTCTGGGGCAGAAGGTGCCGCGGGTTGGGGTGTGGGACCCTGGGCCCGGCTTCCCCATGTACGGACGGGGAAGGGCATGCAGGACTCGGGGCTGCCAGAGAGCCTCAGGGCTCTGCCTGTGAGCACGCGGTGGGGCCGTCGTGGGCGCGCCCGGCGCCCCTCTCCACCCCCAGCCTTCGCTGGCACCTGTCACAGGCCCTCCTCTGACCTCCCCGGGACCAGGCTCCGTGCCTGCAGAGGGCACCTCTCAGCCCCCGGGTCCCTGAGGGATCCACCACGGGGAGCAGGCCCCAACACATCCGGCCCAACAGCAGATGGTCCCTGGATCAGGCACCCTGCCCGCCAGAGGGTGACGTGGGGAAGGACGCACATGGAGCGAGTCCTGCCGGGGCACGTCCCCCGCCCGGGCCCAGGGCAAGCCCCCGTCTGCTGCGGCAGGCAGGGCCTGGAACCAAGCCGGACCAATCCTCCAGGGGTGGGAGGGCGCGGAGCAGGCAGCCAAGGGACGGGGCGACCGCCTCCAGGGAAGGCAGGTTGGCTGCACCCTTCCCAGGGAGGCACGTGAGCCTGTTGGCCTGCGGGAGCGGCCTCTCTGAAGGGCCCCTGGGCTGCCGTGGCTTCAGGGCTGTGGGGTCCCAGTCGAGGAAGTGTCTGCTGCCACCTCACGCACCTCAGGGGTCTCCTCGCCCTCGACCGGTGGAAGCCAAGCCGGGGCGCGTCCACTCAGCTCCGTCTCTGGCTGTCTGTCACCTGTGCTCTCGCCCCCCGCTCGTGCCCTCTGGCCTGTCCTCAGTGTCTCTGGGGACGGGTGTTCACTGCCCTGAGAGCCCCGGCCTAACTCTGGTGCCAGGGTCCGCCGGCCCCGGCTCTCCCTGCAGACACTGTGCCTCTCCTCCGCCCCTCCTGGAACAGCTCTGTGAAGACTCCAAGACAGAGCGGCTGTCTCCCAGGGGACGGGGCGCGCGGGCCGGGCCTTCCGGGTCCCCGGGCCCCTTCTCGTGCTGACGTCAGAAGTCAGCTGCCTTGCTCTAGGCCACGCAGCGGTCATGTCGGTGGCAGGGCAGGGGCCTCAGGTCCCAAGGGGCTTAGGTGGCCCGCGGGGGGCGCAGGCTCACCACAGGCAGGCCCCACATGGCCCCCCTGTCACCCTGGGTCCGTGGATCCCTGCGGGGGCTGCCAGGCTGCCCTTGCTGGCGCGGGTGTGAGCTTGGTTCCCTGACAGGCCCAGTAGGTTCTGGCCTGAGTGTCACCAGTCTGATGTGTGACCCAGTGCGCGTCCCCCGCCTCTCAGGGCGAGGCTCGTCCCGGAGGTCCTAAGGCCGAGGCCAGGGCAGGGGCCGACCTCGGGGGGCGGGGGGCCCGTGCCTGAGGCTGGAGGGCTTACCCTCAGTACCTCGTCCTCTCCCCGCGTCTGTTCCCTCCACAGGCTGCGGTGGGGCTGCGGGTAGAGCGGGTGCACCGTGACCTCTGGGGCTCTGCCCTGAGCCAGGTCCGGGGAAGTGGAGGTCAGCTGCTGGGGGCAGAGGGAGTCTGATGACAGGAGGAGCACAGGGACCGGTTTGGGCGGCAGGGGAGCCTGCCAAAGTCCACACTGACCCAGGGACATGTGGGCGACCTCAGCGAGTGGCCGCGCCAGCTGCAGCCCTGACTCCTGGCCATTGACACACCTGGTTCTCCTCAGCACCCCGGGGTGGCAGCTGGAGCGCTCAGAAACGCAGCCCGGGGCAGACTGACGCACCCCAGCTGAGCCCTGGCTGTCGCGAGGGAGGGGACCCTCCAGACACAGCCCCTTTCTGACCCCAGGACCTTTGAGAGCCAGTTCCTCCCAGGCTCCCACCCAGCTGTCTCCCTGTCCCTCCCTGTGCGCCTCAGCCACTGGGGACGGGGACGGGGATGGGGACAGAGCGTGGTCCCCCGGAGTGCGTGTCAGGCAAGCAGCGCCCACCTCCCTGCCGTCGCAGAGTCCGCTCTGTGCCACTGATTGAGACCCCTGCACCTTGAGTGTGGAATACTGACCCTAGAGTTTCAGGGCCAGAAAGGGCCCCAGCCCAAAGCTTCCCAGTCCCAGCCCTGGGGCTTCGGGGAGCAGGGCTGGAGGGGCCCCCGGAGAGGGTGGCAGGTGTGGGAGGGCCGTGTGTCCTGCGAGGCACCCGCCCCACTGCCGCCTGCCTGAACAAAGGCCCTGTCTCCCCTCCTCCCCCCAGGTGATAGCTGTGGTCATGGACATGTTCACCGATGTAGACATATTTAAGGACCTGCTGGACGCCGGCTTCAAAAGGAAGGTGGCCGTGTACATCATCTTGGACGAGAGTAACGTCAAATACTTCCTGCACATGTGTGAGCGGGCCCGCATGCACCTGGGACACCTCAAGGTGAGCTGACGGTCACAGTGGCCGACTTATTACTCAACAAATGCCCTGGCACCTGTCCTCTAGGGAAAGAGCCGTGCCCAGCCCATAGGGCTCAGCCATCCTCTCGCCTCCTGCCGGGCGGCCCCCTGGCCTCTGCTCAAATGCCCCCAGATGCAAGACGCTGAGCGCCAGCACCTCCAGCAGCCAGAGATAAGGCCGGCGTTGATTAAGGGCCTGCTGGCCAGGGGCCAGAGTCCACATCAGGGCGCTGCCTCGCCTGCTCTTTCCAAGCAGGCCCTGCCACGTCGGTGGCCTGTCTTTGCTCGCTCACCTGCAGGGACAGGGCGCTCGCTGCCCTGGCTCCGGCAGCTCACATCTGCTGTCTGGAGACCTCTGACTGACAGAAAGTTCCTCCTTGAGTTTAAGCCAAAGTCTGCCTCTGCGGTGCCCACCCACGGGTTTTAGGATCTGGCCCCGATGGAGGACACTCCCTCGGGCTGAGGTCGGGGAGGCTTCCTGATGGCTACAGAGTTCAAGTGGATTGAGGAGGAAAGCAGAGCAGAAAGGGCCGCCCAGGGGGCGCCACGGAGCAGATATGGGGTCGTGAGGGCCTGGCTGGCAGCGCTGCTCTGCTGCGTGTGCTTGAGCGCACCCCTCGCTCCCCTCTCGGCTCCAGGACCGCGCCGGCCCGGCAGAGGGGCATGTGGGCCCGTGCAGCTGGCCTTTTTGCACAGACACCCTGGCATTTGGCACTTTGCGTGGGGGTAGAGGGAGCCCTCCTTCCACCTCAGAAGCGCTTGGCACCTACTGTGTGCAGCGCATTCTCTGGAGAATGCTCCCGCCGCACGGTAACAGCCAGAACTTCTGCGGCATTGGACACGGGCCGCGCCTGTCCCGGCTCTTCACCCGGTTACCTCATCTACTCCACACACTGTCCAGTTGTCCTCATTTGACAGGTGAGGAAGGGGAGGCACTTTGCCCAGGTCTCCCTCCCGCCTAGGGAGTCAGAGAAGGGCCAGGGACGCACACCGGAGCCTTCTGGCTGAGAAGAGCCTCCGGCGGGTCAGAATCCCTTGGGCTCTCGGCCTGGGCTCTGAACACGATCCCAGGAGAAGGGGAGAGGCCAGGCTGGTTCACAAGGGGCTGGGCTCCCGTGCCTGTAATTTGCTGGCGTTTGTCACGTATGCCCCCCGTCCCAACCGGGCCTTTTCAAGTGGGCGTGAGCTCCCGAATGGTGAGTCTCTAGCTGTTGGGCATTTTTATGTGGTCTCTTTGGTGTGTTGACCCAAGCTCCACGCTCACTCCTCGCGCTGCCCGCCGTGTAATTAGCACTGGGGATCGAGTCCCGGGGCAGACGGCTCACGCTGGAGAGGCCCAGGACGTGGACAAGGCGTCTTCTGAAAGGCGGCGGCATTGGCCCTGGCCCGGCAGGCAGCAGATCGGAGGACCTTGGGGCCCCCCGTCCAGCCCCTCCCCGTGGTCTCGAGGAGACCCGACAGGCCCACCCCACTGTGCCCCTGCCTCACGCCCGGGGATGCTGTGCTTTACACACGCCACCTCCCTCAGCCCCTCGCACTCCCGGTGTGTGGATGCTGAGCAGGGACCTGAGCCCGCGGCTGGAGACCCTGTGCCCTGTCCAGCGCCACAAGCCTTTTCTCAGCGGAGAAATCCCAAGTTCAAGTCTCCTCATGGTGTTTGGAGTGTTCAGAGTGTCTGGACCTCCCTGAGGCGGCAGGCCACTGGGGCTGCGCTGAGACTCGGCCCAGAGGCGGCACGGCTCCCTCCCGGGAAGGCTGGCCCTGCTCCCCCACTGCCTGCCCTCTCCTTCGCGCCCCGCGCACTGGGGGCCTCGGCACCCGGTGCAGCCCCGTTGCTTTGTGGGCGCCTGGAAAGCCAGAGCCAGAAGGGGCCTCGAGGCCATCGGTACTAGGCTCCCACGGGACAGGTCGGGAAGCTGAGACCTAAGGGAGGTTGTGACTTGCCTCCTTGTCCTGGTATTCCTTCAAGGCGGGCTAACCCTGAAAGCCAGCAGCAAGACACCAGCGTGGACAGGAGGGCGCACAGACCCTTGGTGCCCGACATCCCTGCCCGAGGCTGTGCCGGCCACGGAGGCCACCATGGGCTTGGGCGTGGCCGCGCCTCTGGCACCTCATGGCTGTGCTGACGCCTTGCAGAGCTGTTTGAGGGTGAAATTAGAGGAGACAATGGCTATAAAAGCGCTCTGTGAGCTAAGGGGAGCTGCACAGCTTCTGGTAACAACAGAAATTAAAAACCCTGGGCCCTGGGCAGGGGCGGGGGTGTGGGTGTGAGGCCTCCCCCCACCGCCTTGAAAACAGAGCTGCAGCGAAGGGCACAGAAGCGCCAGCTCCCCCTGGGGCCCCCTGGCCCCGCCAGCCCCCTCCCTGTGGGGCAGGCCGTGTGCACTAGGGAAGGTGGCAGGGTCTGCGGGGCGGCACGCCCAGGTGCCGCGGCCCTCTCAGTGCAGGGCAGGTGACCCCGGCCGCCTCATTCTCCCCTCTGAGCCTGCCCCCTCGCCAGTCTGGGCGGGTGGCTGGAGGCTCCTGTGGGCCCAGCCCTGGCCAAGTGTCACCTTGTCTGGGGCCTGCCCACACGGCCCACCTCCCTGCCCGCGGGCCGGCTGGGCCCGGACCTGTCTCGGGAGCACTTCCTCCGCCGGGAAGCCTGGCTCGCCCTTGGCCGGCTCTGCTTCGACCTGCCCTCAGATCCCGTAGGCCCAGGGTACAGGTTGCGCATGTAGGGTCATACTTTGGACCACAGCGGTGTCGGGTGCCAGCCTAGGGGCCACACGAGGAACCAGGCTTGAGCCCCAGCTCCGCCACCTTCCCTGTAGCTTTGCACAGAGACACTGTATCTCTCGGGGCCCCAGTCTTGTCTGAAAATGGGCAGGGCTGCTGTGAGGCGTGAGCCATGTAGGGGCAGGACCCTCAGTAACGAGCCCCCTTCTCATCCTGTCCTTGGTTGGGGACAGGCACAGCTCCTCCCATGAGACCCCAGCTCTGGTCTGATGAGTGCCGGGGGCGCCCCTCCCCCTCGGAGCCGCAGCCTGGCCAGGCCCCCCGCCGCCCCCCTCCGCCGTGTGCCCACTGCAGGCAGCACCGCGCGGTCGCGGCCTCCTGCCTCTGCCTCCTGCGCTCACACCAGAGCGCTCTGGAAACAGCTGCCCCCTGGCTCTCAGGTGAGGCAGGAGGACGTGCACTGGCACCTCCCGCAGCGGGAGGTTCACAGCCTTCCCCAAGCACCCGTCCCCTCACGGCGCCCCTGGCGGGGCGTATGGGAATCATGGCCCCACGGCAGCAACGGGAATAGCCTTTCAAAAGGAGACCCAGCCCTCTCACCCTCCCCAGTGTCCAGGATCAGGCCGCGTGGCCAGACCACATTTGGGGGTGAGGCTGGGTGCCAAGGGACGCCCCAGGGCCGGAGGGAGCCAGGCCGGGCCTGGAGGCTCCCAGCTCAGGACGGGGCGGGAGCTGCGCGGTGCAGATCGGAGCGCCTCGTCGGCTCGGTGCTGCCGGACTGGAAAAACCAGCAGCCTCTGGGCAAAGGCTGGACCCATTTCTGATGAATGAGTCCAGCCACGGTGGCCGTGGGAAGGTGCCCGGTCAGGATCCTGCAGCGCAGGTTCCGCACTGGACAGGCGGCTTCCTGCCGGTGCCCAGGCTCCCTGCCACCCCTTCCTCGCGTGTCTGATCCTGGCTCGGGCTGTCACGGACTCAGGGTGGGGAAGTACTCCTCAGACAGAGGGGTTTACTGGCTTGGGATCCTGGGCAGTGTCTGGAGACATTTTTAAGGGTCACGACTGGGACAGCCCGGTTGGCACCTGCGGGTAGAGGCCAAGGATGTTGCTGAACGTCCTGTGATGCCCAGGACAGCCCCACAGCAGAGCGTCACCTCGCCCAGAGTGCCACAGTGCCGAGGCTGAGCGACGCAGCCCAGGGGAGAGCAGGGAGTCCCTCCACCGCGACCTTGGAGCTGCGCAGGCGCAGCCCCAGCCGCCCCCAAAGGCAGTTCACAAGGGGGCTCCCCATCCCAGCTTCGTGATGGCCAGGTGAAGGCCAGGGTGAGCATGGCCCCCCATTACAGAGTGGACCAGGCCCTTTAGGAGAGAGCAGGGGCTGCCAGGCCCCTCCGTCTCCTGCCTCCGCATGCCTGGCTCGATCTTGCCATCACTGGCCGGGCCTGGTCGGGATGCACCCGTGGGCCTTCCCGCTCCTCCTCAGGCCCGGGGGATGCCAGCAGGCCCCTGCGGAGGTTGGGGAGGGGCACGAAAGAGCCACCGCGGTACAGCTGGAGGCCGCCCTCAGGCCTGGGGGGCTGGACCCTGCCCCTGGGAGACTGGGCAAGCCCCCCGCCCTCTGAACCGACCTGGCCATCACGGGCAGCTGACAGTCCTGGCCCCCCGGACCTGGCCTGTCCAGATGTTTCCTGGCCCTCGTGTTGGCCCCACTCTGTCCCCTCCCCAGTGGAAGGGGTCCCCCCAGCATGCGCAGTCACAGCCGCTTTGTCACCTTGAGTTTATGAAGTGCCGGCCGCTGTTCCCTGTGGTTTCGTGCCGACCCCACCGCAGCCCCGTGGCAGGAGGGGGCAAGGCTCCTTGCGCAGGTTGGTGTCCGGCTGGCACCACGGCTGGAGCCCTGTGTGATCAGAGCCCCAGAAGGCCCAGACCCTCCCTCTCCGGGGGCCTGGGCCTCCCGCGCTTCCTGCCCGCAGTCGAGGCCTGGGCTCGGGCCAACTTAGGACCCGGTCACGTCACATCTCCGCACAAGCACAGGAGGCCTGGCAGGGAATGTGGGGCAGGACGTTGCTGTTTTGCCCCTTCCCTAGTGCCCACCCCACCCTGCCCCACACGCGCGTGGCGCAGAAGCCACCCTCGGAACAGGTGATGTGGATTACCTCCCCTGACATTCCCTCGGGGCCCATCGCTGCCCCTTTCAGGCGTGAGGAGACCAAGGCTCCGCAGAGCCCAGGGACCGGCGCAGGGCACCCTGCCTGGGCCAGCCCGGTGGCCGTTCTCCCGGATGCCCTGCCCCTGCCCGCTGTGTTCTGCCCAGGCTGTCACAGGGCGCAGAGACAATGCAGCTTTGTGGGAGCCTCTGCTGCTCACCCGAGCCCTGACTCCTGAGACATTACCTCATCCGGGCCAGGCCCCACGGGGTGGGGTGCACCCAGGAAAGCAGGCCTGGGAGCGGAGGGGGCGGGGTGGGGGAGTGGCAGCAGCCACGAGGCCCCACCTGCTGCCGAGCCCCAGGGCTAACACACCTTCGGTTCGAGGCCTGTCCCCAGCACACAGACGAGGAAACTAAGGCCCAGAGAGGGCCAGAGACTCTCTTAGAGCCCTGCAGCAAATCTGGTGCCTCTCGTGCGGAGTTGAGTCTCTCTCAGATGTGCATGGTGACCTCTGAGCCCTCTAGCTGGACAGGGTTCAGGGTGGGTGGGGCAGACGCTGGCAAGAGGGGAGGTGAGGCTGAGGAGGGGCCTGCGGTTCGGCACGCAGAGCCCTGGGCCAGGAGCCCACGGAAGCCATAGAGCTGGCTGTGGCCGGGCCAGGCTACAAGGCAGGCCTTGTACCGCCTCCAGGCTCTTTGCTCCAGTTTCTGGTCCTGAGCGTGCTCTGTGTTGGGTGCAAAGTCAGGAGCACTAATTGCCCTGGGCTGCGGCCAGCTTCCTGCTGAGCTGGCTCCGAGCTGGCTGTGTGCAGACAGGCAGCCTGGCGGGCAGAGGAGGCTGGCTCTGGGAGCAGAGGCTTATCTGCTCCTGGGCCGGCCCAGAACAGGTGGCTGTGCGCCCTGTAGCCGGGCAGGCATCCGCCATCCGCCCCGCAGCCTCTGAGCGGAGGGGCCTGGGGCCTGTCGCAGCAGGGCCGGCCAGCAGCAGCGCCCGGAGGCTGTGGGCGGCAGGGGAGGGCAAACCCAGGCTCTCCCAGACCCATCCCTGCCCCGTGTGGCTGCCGCCCTGACTCGGGCCCACCTCCCTTGCCTTCAGCAGCGCCCCCAAGTCCCCGGCCCCCCATTCACTACACGTGTCCTCTGCGGGATGCCGACCCCTTCTGGAGGTGCAGCGCCGACATCATGGCTCCCTGCTCCGAACCCTCCCGCTCCCCCCGCTGCCCCAGGGCCGAGCCGGGCCCTTGAGCAGGTGTAGGTCTGTCGGAGCCAGCTGAGCTCACTCTGTGCCTCCGCTGCTCACCCTCCTCCCCCGAAGTCCTAATGTGTCTTAAAACAGACCGCTGCTCGGGTCGGCGACCGTCGTGCTCCCGAGTCGGGATGCTGACCCGACCCCCCGCCACCCTTCGCTCGCCGGCCTGCCCCAGCCCTCGCAGCCGCTCTCGTCCCCCGTCACGCCGGCGTTCTGGTCACGGTCATCTCTGCCTGCAGCTAGGGACCTCGGCAGGGGGCAGGGGACAGCGAGTGGGCGGTCGGCCAGCGGGGGCACAGCAGAAGTCACGGAGGGTGCGAGAGCCCGGTGCCCGAGCCTGCGCGGGGGCCTCCGCAGGGGGACTCCCGTCCCGGGGGCGTTCAAGCGGACCTGCCGGGTGCCCCCAAGGGAGCTCCTGCCCTGGGCAGGTGTTCGATTTCCTAGGCCCCGAGTTAACAGCAAAGTTCCCAGCCCGCCCACAGGCCCCCCCGAGTGGCTCTCGGGGGCACCAGGAGCCTGTGTTCCTGACACTCTGCCAGTCACTGTTTTCACCACAAGCCCACACCTCCTTCCTTGCCTGAGCATCGGCGGGGGGCCCTCCCCCACCCGCATTCCCTCAGCCTGTCTCAGCCAGGCTCACCCTGCCCTCCCCCAGAGCTGGCGCCTCCTTCCACGGAAGGGCAGGGGAGCCAGCCCTGTGCCCTGTGGTGCCCGGCCCACAGATATCCCTAGACTTCGAGCCAGGGCAAGAGGGCTCTTCACGACCAGAGTCCAGATGAGGGCAGGAGTGGCCTGGTCTTGGACTTGAGGCCCCGCCCATGACGCCCCGACGCCCCCTCCTCTCCCTGGGTCTCAGCGCCCCTTCCCACGGCCTCCCAGGGGCCTTGGCTGGCTCCCGAGCCGGACCGCGCCGGCCCAGTGAGGAGTGGGGTCAGACCGTGCCAGGCAGTGGTCTCGCCCCCAGAGAAGTAGCAGAGATTGCTGGGAGCCTGGCCCTCAGTGAGCAGAGGTTGGCAGCGACAGAGAGAGAGACCCAGGCCGAAGCCCGCCGGTCACTCATCCTGGCACGGCCCAGACCCTGCAGGGCAGGTCCCGGTCCTCACCAGGACTTTCTACAGTGCGTCTGCGTCCCCTCTTGCTCAAGGCCCTCCAGCAGCCCCTCCCCCAGAGCAGTGCCCCGAGACCGCAGAGACCGCAGGCCACGCAGACCCTCTGCACCTAGCCCTTCAGCCCCGGCCCCACCCTCCTCTCCAGCTTCCCATTCCTGCGCTTCCCTCCCGGGTCCTGGCCCTGCAGTCCCCGTGCACCACGGCCTCCTGCCGGCCTCCGCGCCTCCCCCTTCCCCACCCAGGCTCCCCCGGAGCGCCCTGAGGCCCCAGGCGGACCACCGGCCTCCCCTCCACGTGGTCGGTGCTGTGGCCATGTAATTCTGTCTGTTCCCCGACACAGAACCTCAGGGTACGGAGCAGCGGGGGAACGGAGTTCTTCACGAGGTCAGCCACCAAGTTCAAGGGCGCCCTGGCCCAGAAGTTCATGTTCGTGGACGGAGACCGAGCCGTCTGTGGCTCCTACAGGTGACTCCCTGGCCTGCCAGGGGCTGGGGAAAGAGGTGGCTCTGGATCCCCTCGGGTTTCTGCCCTTAATCCTGCCTTATGACACCCTGGTTTTTCCGGTTCATTGGTCCCAGAACTGCTGAGGTGTGAGCTGGGCTGGGCACACCCGCACGCCACCCACCCGTCTCGGGAGCGGGCAGAGGAGGGCTCTGTCTGGGAGGCTGGCTCCAGCCAGGGGTGGGGTGTGAGCCGGCCCGGCCGTGCCTCCCCAGGCTGTGGAGCGGTCGCTCTGAAAGCCATTCTCAGGGCCAGGGCTAGAATGAGGACAGCCATGGCCCAGCTCCGCGAGCCCTGCCACGAGGCGGGGGGGAGGGAGGGTGTAGGGGGACTACTCTCACTCAGAACTTTGGTGACAAAGACACCAGGTGTCCGGGCTGCTCAGGGCACCCTGTGACCCCTGAGGAACGCAGCTCTGTGCTGCCTTGTACAGAGCAGCCGAGAGAAGACCTGGTCCCCGTGACTCGCCTGAGGACCCAGACTCAGGTCTGGCCCTGCTGCTTGGGCCCTGTCCTCGGTTCCCCTCACTTCTCAGTCCCATCCAGGGCCTTACCGTAGCCACAGTCCGGGGAACAGCCGCCCGCGGGGAGCCTGGTGGCTCTCGGACGCCCACGGCAGGGGCGCCAGCCCGAGGGAGGGAGCGAGCGGCCGCGCGCCTGACCCACAGCCCCGCCCTGTGTTGCAGCTTCACGTGGTCCGCCGCGAGGACAGACCGCAACGTGATCTCCGTGCTGTCCGGCCAGGTGGTGGAGACGTTCGACCGGCAGTTCCAGGAGCTGTACCTCATGTCGCACGGCGTCAGCCTCAAGGGCATCCCCATGGAGAAGGAGCCCGAGCCGGAGCCCGTGGTGCTGCCCCCCGTGGTCCCCCTGGTGCCCTCTGGCACTGTGGCCAAGAAGCTCGTCAACCCCAAGTACGCGCTGGTCAAGGCCAAGAGCGCTGAGGAGATCGCCAAGGTCTCCTCTGAGAAGCAGGAGGTCAAGAAGCCCCCGGGGCTGCGGGGCGCAGCGCTGGCCGAGCAGCCGGCAGACCTGCCCGAGCCGTCCCTGCCCATCCACCCGGGGCTGCTCAACCTGGAGCGGGCCAACATGTTCGAATACCTGCCCACGTGGGTGGAGCCGGACCCAGAGCCGGGCAGCGACATCCTGGGCTACATCAATATCATCGACCCCAACATCTGGAACCCTCAGCCCAGCCAGATAAACCGCATCAAGATCCGAGACACCTCGCAGGCCGGGGCGCAGCTGTGGGGGCAGAGCCAGGTCTGCAGCCCTGGTCCAGAGCCCAGCGGCTCCCAGGACGCGGTCCCGGCCAAGAACGGCCTCCCCGAGGAGGACCCCAAGCCCCCGGTGCCCAAGCCCCGGACAGTCCCTGTGGCAGACGTGCTCGCCCAGGAGGGCAGCGGTGCTGGCTGGGCCCTGGGGAGCGCAGGAGAGGGGGTGCCCCAGCACAGGGCAGGCCGCGGGCTGCCCAGGACACCAGGCCCAGGCCAGGCCCCACCCCAGCGGCCACTGTCTGTGACCCAGGACGACCCTGCTGGGGAGAGGGTGGTGATCCCTAACGGGCTGGATCAGGAGGACGAGGAAGACGACGACGACTACGTGACCCTCAGCGACCAGGACAGCCTCTCGGGCAGCTCTGGCCTTGGCCGTGGCCCCCGGCGGCCCTCAGTGGCCTCCTCCTCTGTGTCAGAAGAGTGTTTCGAGCTCCGGGGACGCCAGGCCGCTTTCCAGAGGCGCCACTCGGAGCAGGTAGCTAACGGGCCGGTCCAACCCCCCCGCCGACAGCTGAGCGCCCCCAACATGGCCCTCAGGACCTTTGGTGAGCAACTGTGTGGCTCACTGTGGGCCCAGGGCCGGGAGAGAGAAGAGGCAGGCGCTCTGAGGAAGACGCAGGCCTTGCGCTCCGCGGACAAGGACGCACAGGTGGGTTGGAGCCCCTTCGCCCCAGGGGCCCGGGAGCCCCCTTCCGCAGGCCTGGGCACGGAGCGCGGCCATCTGCTGGGCTCTTCGTCCCCGGCTCGGACCCTCTCCTTGTACCGATGGGGACACCGATAACGGGGTAGGCAGCGGGGAGGGGCCGTCCCAGGCCACACGTGGCGGTGCTGGAGACCTCGGCCCCAGGATCCCCTGAAGGCACCTGCGTCAGCTCCCAGGGGCTGAACGGAAACGCTTAACCGCCTGAGGTTTCAGGCCCATGGTGTTACGGGAAGTCAGTGCCTAGTTTTCGGACAGGGAAATGGCAGTGGTAAAGGTATTTGTGTCCTGCAGCAAGTGGTCCTTGCCTGGGCCTGTCCCGAGCCCCCTGTGTGTCGGCCCCTTTGACTGTGGTCCTGGGACCACTCTTCCCTACTCCCCCAGGCCAGGAAACGGCTCGCACCCATCCTTTGCCTCTTCCTGGCAACTCTCGAAGCCCCGGCGCAGCCCCGGCCCAGCCCTGGCGCAGCCCCGGCCCAGCCCCGGCCTTACCTGGGAACAGCGCGCGGCTGATCATGCCCGGCATGATCATCAGGCCCATGGGTAGCATCTTCAGGTAGCTGGCCAGGATGGAGCCCGCTTTGGCGTGGTTCAGGTCCCGGGCAGACAGCGACCGCTGCACGATGACCTGCGGGCACGTGGAGGGCGTGAGCCCTGGCCCCTGCCAGGCGCCCGTGGCAGGGCTGCCCCCAGGTGGGCCTCCAGGGGCGGCATGAGGTGCTGTCCCTCCAGCGCCAGGCCCCCCTGAGACAACCCAAGCCCAACCCTGACCCCTGATGGTCCCCCCCAGAAGCAGAGCTCACCCCGATTGGCCGAGCAACCAAGACCAAGGTGCTCTCATTCCAGAGCCTCAGTTTCCCTGGCTGCTGAGTAGGGAAGGTGTGGCTCCTGCCCGGCCTGGCCCTCCGCCATCAGCAGGACTGGGGGAGACCCTGGCGGACGGCATCAGGGGACTCCCCCGTCTCCTGCACCTCACAAGAGCGGCTGGCGTGTTCACACACGTGCCTGGAGGTGACACTGGCACCAACTGTTGGGCATCGCTGGCAGGGGTCAGGAGCTCTCAGACCTGGGGCCTGGGGAAGCCGCCTGGTCAGCAGGGGTGGGGGCTGGGCTGCCAGGGCCGCTCCTAGCGGGGCCTCAGTTTCCAGGTCTGCAGAATGGGAACTGATGGCATCTGAGATCCCTCCCAACTCTGACATGATGATGATACTTAAAAAAAATAAAGATTTTATTTATCTATTTCTAGAGAAAAGGGAAGGGAGGGAGAAAGGGAAAGAAGCATCAATCTGTGGTTGTCTCTCACTCTCAACTGGGGACCTGGCCCACAACCCAGGCACATGCCCTGACCGGGAACCAAACTGGCAACCGCTCGGCTCGCAGGCCAGTGCTCCATCCAGGGAGCCACACCAGCCGGGGCACGATTCTATTTTTAAAAAAAATTTTTTTTTTTCTTTTTAACAGCTTTCTTGAGGGATAGTCCACTTGCAGTGCAGCCACCTAAAGTTTCATTGCAGTGCTCAGCGTGTCCGCGGCGTTGTGCCGCCTGTGCCTTTCACCTGGGTTCCCCTTTGCCCTCCTGCAGCTCCGTCACTAGCAGCCGTTCAGGAGTAGAACCACCTGTGACTTTAACTACGTCCCAAATGTGCTAGTTTAAGGGCTCGCCCCCAGCGCTCCCTCTGTCGCGTGGTTCTCAGTGACCCCGGAATCACAAGAGCGGGGAGTGGCAGCAGGGATGCACAGGACAGTCTGCTGTCCGTCCGGCTCCTCCGCCAGCTTCCGGTGACTCAGAGACAAGTCCTTGCCGCGCTTTGGGCCTCAGTTTCCCTGACTTGACAAGGAGGGGGTCAGACCTGGTTCCCTGTAGACCCTTTCCCATTGATGTGCTGTCACTGCAAGAGCCCAGGGCCAGTCCCCGTGGGAGAGGAGGAGCATTTCCTCGAACCCCGAGCAGTGCCGTCTATTGTTCCATCCCCGGCTCTCGGGGACCGACCTGGGAGGCCAGGCCGGTCTGCAGCCAATCAAAGGTCTGTGGGGGGAGGAGCTGAGGCTTGGCCCCACCAGGCCTCCTCTTTGATTGGCTTTGCTTCTGATGACCAGAGCGTGGCCCACACGTCGTGGCTGAGCTGGGAGATAGTGAAAAAGCCTGAAGGAGAAGAGGAGCACCGGTGGTCCTGGTGCGCGGAGCTGCCGCCTGGTGCCGACCGGGCTGTGGCTGAGCAGAGTCAGCCCTCCCGGTGTCCTGTGGAGTCCCCAGCCACTAGTGAGGGGGCAGACAGGCGGGACCCAGTGGTGCAGTCCCTGCCTCGTGGGTGCTCTGGACCAAGGCCCCGCTACCCCCAGGCAGACGCACACTAAGCAAGAGGAGGGTGGGGAGGTGCGTCTGCGGGCGCTGCCCGCCTCCCTGTGTGGCCCTCTTTTCCAGGCACTGAAGCCCCTCCAGCCCTGCCTTGGGGGCCAGGCCCACGCGGCCTTCATGGGGAAATCTAACTGCTCTCGCGCCCAGGCAGGCCAGCGCCGCGCCGGGCCTGTGCTGAGTTGGGGAGAGGGCGCGGATGGCTCGCCAGGGCAGTCCTGGTGCCCCCGTGTGCCCCCAGCCAGCATCCACCCAGCCCCGGGCTCGCCCGCAGCCCTCCTGCGGGGCTGGGCAGGTGCCTGCTGGGTACCCCTGTGTTCCTGGGAGGCCCACGTGTGAGGCGAGGCTGGCGTGGGCATCTGGGGGCCCCATGTTACAAATGGGGAGACTGAGGCCCAGCCTCCCAGGATTCCTGAAGCCTCCCCGTGCGGCTCGCTTCCCACTGCCCCAGCCAGGGAGCGTCTGCCAGCAAATGCACACCGAGGAACCTGCTGCTCGAGAGCGGGAGACCCTGCGAGCATGCCCCTCACCAGCGGGCAGCGTGGCCCCGGGAGACGGCCCGCCCTCCGGGTGCAGACGGGTACCCCCTTCAGCAGAGGCTGCCCTCGTTCACCCGCTGCCTCACTTCCCTGACGGGGCCCTGCTGCTCCGCGAGGCCTTCGCCCGCCCGAGCGCTGCCCAGAGCTGCCCGTGGCCTTCCCCGGCAGGCCACGCGGCGGACACTGTCTGCCTCCACCCCGAGAGGACACGAGGCTGTCCGAGGTCGCCCAGTGCATTCACAGTGCAGAGAGGATGGAGTCGGACTCCGGGGAAGAGCCGCCCCCTGCACTCACCAGATCAAGGGCCCAGATCAAGGGCCTACCTCTGACCGCCCAGCCCCACCCTGTTTACAGGTGGAGGAAGCTGGAGCAGGGTCCTCAAGGAGGAATAGGAACTTGCCTCATCACAGCCACCAAAGGCGAGATTATCCACCTATGACACATGGGGGAACTGAGGCACAAAGTAACTCAGCACACTTGTCCAGGCCCAGTGGCTAGTGCGTGGCGGGGCTAGGGCCAAGCCCGGCTGTGCAGACCGCAGCCTGCCTGGCAGCAGTCCCCCGGGGAGAGGTGGAGCTGCTCAGTGGGACGTTGCTCTGACTGCTCTCTCTTTCCCAGGACCACCAGTATGGAGTCCCTCCCGGGACCCGGGACAAAGATGGCTTCCCACGGCTGCTGAGGACCCCAGGATCCCCGCGGTACTGCCCCACTGCCGAGGGCGCCCAGAGCTCTTCCAGGAAAACGGGCTCCCACTGCTGGCAGGCCCCGGGCAGCCTCGGGCCCCACATGCCTCCGGACCCTGGGAGCCCGAGGCTGGGCCGCAACACCAGTCTCCTAAGTGACGGCAGGGCCACCAAAGTGCACCCGAGTCCTTTCGGGATCCCGTACTCCAGACTGTCGCAGTCGAAGCACTTGAAGACCAGGGCGGGCGGCAGCCCCTGGCCCTCCTCCGATTCTAAACGGAGGGTCCAGGCCCCCCGGGACCGCAAGGACCCCTAGCACCGTCCCCAGGCCTGGAGCCAGGTCGCCCACGGCTTCCACCCAAGCCCAGACGCACCACGCGGGCCGCCCGGCCGATTTCAGATGGGCCACCCGGGCCCTCCGGAGGCCCCCCCACCCCCGGAAGGCAGGAAGGTGGCAGGCGATGGTGTTGACACTCACCTGGTCAGTGCACCAGTACCAGGTGGCCATGATGGTCAGGCCGAAGGTCATCCCGGTCCACGGGAGGTCCGCGGTGTAGGGGTCTCGGAACATGTGCATGGCGTCTGCGCGCGGCAGGTGGCAGGTCGTGTTGGCAATAGTCCTGGACGGGATGGCCCGGGCGTAGGCTGCCGCCAGCTGCTCGTACCCACCAATCTGGTCGAAAGCTGGAAGGGCCGGGACAGGGCAGGGACGGGTCGGCGGCCGGCGGCTCCCGGCCGCCGCCCGCGTCTCAGGAGGAACCTCCTGCTGTGCCACAGTGGCCTTCTCCCACTGCACCGTCCCAGCGCCTGGAAGGGTGCGGCTGGGTAGAGGGGGTTTTAAAAACCTGAGTTTAAACGACTATTTTATATGTATTTAAAATAATGCTATTAAATAAGCATTTTGCACGTGGGCAGCCCAGTGTCCTGGTGACCTCTGGGGGCCGTTGGCCTTAAGCCAGGGCTTCCGTGCCAGGCTTCACACTGTCAGTTCAAGGAAGCGGAAGTCTTTTTTCTTAGCATTTAAGGACCTTCCAAGGAGTTCAAAGTGTCAAGGTCCCCTGACCCAGGGGCTTCTGAAGGACATGATTTGAGCTGAGCTGAGAATGGCTGGCAGTGATGTGGCGGTGCGCAAGGAAACAGGCCCGGGGGGCGGGGGGCGGGGCGGGGACAGCCAGCGGGGCCTCAAGCCAGGGGCCTTTCCTCTCAAGCCCAGACCACATTCGCCCCCTCCCGCCTCCGGGTCAGCCCTTCGTGGCCAAGCCCTGACCCGCCCATGGCTCTCGCTGTGTCCGCAGCCACTCCAGGCGGGGCCTGGCTGCCTCGGCCTCTCCAGCAATGGGCTCCAGAGACACGGGCCCCTGGTCGGAGAGGAAGCAGGTACACAGAAGGCTGGACACAGGAAAACCCCAGCCACGGCCCGGGCCCTGCCCACCCCCTTTCCCAAGCAGGAAGCCTGCTGCCTGGACTCTGGGTCCCCTGTGTCCTTGCCGCCGGGAGCCCAGGCCAGACTGGGGTGACCGCTCCGAGCAAAGGTGCAGACACGACGCGAGCGGCAGACGTGGCTGGGCCGCAGGATCCTGGAGTCCGAGCCCGGAAGAGACTGGGAGGCCTCTGCCCACCCTCCGTGGGACCCCTGGGCTCTGCGTGCACACTCCCGGGCCACGCCCCCTGGAGGCCCGCAGAGCCACTGGCTGAGCTTCCTCCGTCTGGAGGCCTGCCCCCCTCCCCGGCTCTGCCCGCGGGCCGCAGCAGCGCCTGCTGGGATCGCGCACCCAGCTCTAAACCAGCGGAGCGGACACCCGGCTGTTTTGCGGTCTCCTAATTGCGTGTCTGCACATCCGCCTGGGTCCAGCCTCACCCTCCAGCCCTGAGGCAGGGCAGGTGTGGCTCGTCCTGGGTTCCTGAGTCAGCCCTGTGCCAGCCCTGAGTCCTGTGGGAGCTGTGACGGGCTCGCAGCTGGGCCGCGTGGGCGGGGCGGGGCAGACAGCCCCTTGGGGAAGCCCAGGGCCCCACCTCGTGAGCCAGCCCGCCCCCCGCGCTGACCCCCGGACCCCAAGGCTGGCTGCGCGCCCGGCCTCACCTTTGGCAGTCAGAACCACGGCCCCCACCACCATGATGAGGGTTTGCAGGGCGTCTGTGTAGATCACAGCGGTCAGGCCGCCTGCGGGAGGACACGGGAAGCTGCAGGGCCCAGGCTCGGGGGGAGGGTCAGGGAAGCAGCGCCCGAGCTCCGGGGGCAGCTGCGCACGTCGCCGTCCCCCAGCCTTTCGCGGGCGGGTGAGCTGTGGGACCCAGAAGCTGGGCCGCAGAGCCGGACGCAAGTCTCTGACGTGGCCGCTTCCCAGGCTGCCAGAAGACGGGCCCCCCACCCCCGTGCTCACGCTCCTTGGCCCCTGCCCGCGTCTCGGGTGCCAGCCCTTGTCCCCCAGCTGCACGGACGCCCCACCCAGTGGTCAGGACCCCGGCCCGGCCTGGGCGACATACCTGCGATGGTGTACAGGGCCGTGATGACGAGCATGAGGATGGTGGACAGGTAGAAGTTCCAGCCCAGGCAGATGTGCACAAAGAGAGCCCCTGCATACAGGTCGATCTGGGGCGGGAAAGGCATGTCGTGTTGAGGCCCGAGGTGACCGCGGGCCCCGGAGCACGAGTGAGCCCCCACGTTGCTGCGCTCTCACCGAGTGGCCTCAGTGGCCTGTCTCAGAGGGGGGGAGGATGTCCTGGCCATGGACAAGCTGAATGCAGGGGCATTACTGTGGCTAATGAAGTCCTAAGTGGCCGACGCCCACCGGCCAGCAGCACTGCTACTGAATGGCCCCTGCCCGGGATGTGATGGGCAGAGCCCTGGCCTCTTGGTTCTCGGGGGCCCTTGAGGAGGAGGAGTTCCGGGGGGCTTCTCGAGGGAGGCCCACAGAGACTTGCAGGCCTCAGAGAACAGGCGCACATGGCTTGGTCTGCAGGCCCGGGTCTGGGTATACTGCCTGTTCCCTGTCCCCTGGCGGATGGGGCCCTCCAAGAAGAGAACAGCCGTGAGGGCCGGCGTGGGCCGGGGCAATGGGCAGTCGTGCTTACTGCCCCCTCAGCGGGACTGAAACTGAAGCCAGGACCGTGCATTAGGCTGAGGCTGGTTCCCAGGGCGGGAGGAGCCCCCACCGTCCCAGGACCCATTGGGGGCGAGAATCCTAGCCTCAGGCTGAGCACTGGGTGCAGCCTCCCAGAACATGCCCCTCCCCCACTGTGCAGCGGTTACCCTGAGGACAGGACCCTGCCCTGTGAGACCTGGGGGCTGGGTACAGGGCTCCACCCACCTCATTTCCAAACCCGCCATTCTGTGCTGGCTAAGTACAGGGGAGACAAACAGAACTGGCCACTGGGGCCAAGAGCGTCCCCCCGAGAAGGCTGGGCGAGGCTGTGGGCCAGTCTGCAAGGCTGCGGGCGCCGGCCCCTGTGAGCTACCCTGGGCCAACCTGGAGCTGCCAGCCCTGCTGGGAGCCAGGCCTGGGGGACGCAGGGCCCAGGTGGGAGCTGGGTCTCACCCAAAGCCCAGGTTCCTGTACCTCTCCCTCCGGGCTCCTCCTCCGCCTTTTGGAGAGGTGACCAGCTGGGGCGGAGGCTGACAAGGCCCTGCCTCAGCGTGCACGCGCGCACGTGTGTTGTGGGGCATCGGCCACCAGCACTCATGAGACCAGAGGAGAAACAGGCTGAGGGAGGGGAATGGACTTCACCAAGGACAGGCCGGGGCCAATAGAGGTGGGAGACGCCAGGTGAGAGGGCCACGGGCAGGGGGCACGGGAGGGCTCCAGAAAGCAGCCCTCCTTCCATCTGGTCACCTTCCTCCTTCCTCTGGCCGCCTCTGAAGACGCCCCTGTGGACCCCAGCCGCCCTCAGAGCCAGCTTCAGGGACCCAGGTCTGTGTCCCCAGTCAGCGGCGTCCCCGCGAAGCGGCTCTGAGCGGGGCACCTCGCCCCGAGCTGCAGGGGCTCCCCTCCGTAAAATGGGGGTGCACGTGGGAGGGATGCTGGCAGTGCCCCTGTTGTGGGAGTTCTTGGCCCCCTTCCATCCCACGGGCCTCTGTGGCCTCCGTCGGGAGGGTGGCGGTATGGGGGCGGGCCCCCTTAGGGTGCCTGGTGGCCCAGGAGCAGCTACGGCAGCTAATCTAACTCCCTGTGGGCACAGAGAGGGAGGTGAAGTCAGGGAACTCGCCCATGGTGGCAAAGCCCTAGGAAGAAAATCAAAGGACAGTGGCAGAGAACCTGTGTCTCAAAGGAAGACCTGCTTTCGGGGCACAAGGCCAGCCAGGGCCTTGCTGGGCAGGAGCCGCTGATGCGCCCTCACCCTGAAACCTGCTGTGGCTCCCTGCGGCTCCCATGGTGGTGTCCGAGGTCGTCTGTATGAGATCTGACCTCATACTCGGTCCTCAGCAGCTGTCTCAGCCACCGCCTGGTACTTCTTCCCCGAGCGTGGGTCCAGGCAGTGCCCACGCCAGACCTGCTACTCACAGGTTCCCCTGCATCTCATACCAGACCCTCTGATGCCTTCGGCCAACCGGACCCCCGGGAGTGCCCCTGGGGTGCGTGGTGAACCTACAGGTGCCGCACGCCGCCCTGGGTGCCGTGTTCTGAGTAGCTCATCTAGTGCTTGGGCGTCCTACAAGGTGGCTGTCACGATGAGTCCCCTCCCCAGAGGGGGCAGCAGCAGGCAGGGAAACGCCTTGTCCAAAGCCCTGACCGCAGCCACGAGGCAGGGCCCGAGGCTGCAGCCTCCCTGCTGGGCGGACCCTGGGGCCAGGAGCTCCCAGGTCCCTAGAGAGAGTGGAGCCCATTTTGTGGAGCTTGGAAAAAGGCTTGAACCGAGGACAGGGGAGGGGGCAGGGCGCGGTGTGGGAGGAGCTGTGCCGCAGAGTGGCTTGCAGCTCAGCTCGGCTGAGTGCGCTGAGTGCGGAGCCCCATGCCCCGGGGTGGGGGGCACTGGCTGCCTCGTGCCTGAACCTGCACCCTGCACCCTGCGCCCTGCACTGGCCACCTCCCGACAGAGAACCCTTTTTGCCCTCCCTTTGTGTAGGAGCAGAGAAGCTGCGGTGGTCCACAGGTTTACCGTGTGATATCTCCCTAAATTTCCCTTGGGGTCCCCTGCTCCCAAATCTTGTCCATCTGCGTGGAGGCCATGAGCATCCCTTTTGGGATTCCAGAAACTTCTTGGCCATACTCCCTTTCACCTGACCCCACCAGCCACTGCTACAAAATAGTCCTCCCCACCTCCGTCGTCCCCGCGGTGGTCCCACCCCTTTGGAAGCCCCTCAGCGGCCCCTCCTGCGCTTGGCTTGTCCTGCATTTCCACTGCGGGCCCCGCCCTTTGCCGCAGCCCCGGGCTCCGAAGCTGCCTCCGCACCAGCCTCCTTCAGTGGCTGCGAGCCCCGGCCTGGCATCCAGACCCCTCTCCAAAGCCGGCCAGCCCAGCCTGTTCTCTCATTCTAGATTTCAGCCCAGCGTGCGCTTCCTTTATCCGTCTTACTATTTATTGTGACTGTATCAGTCTATTTACTTGTCTCATCTGTTTGGAACATAAGTTCCCTGAGAGCAAGAAACAAGCTCATCACCCAGGCTCAGCCAGGGCCTGGTCCACCGCGGGCGCCCCGCCAAAGGCCCCTTCGCAGGCGTCAGGGATTGGCACGCCGGAGCCGCGGGCCAGGCGCAGTCACACCCGCTGGGACCGCCCTCCGCACTCCAGCGGCAAAGTTGAAAACGGTTGACCCTTGAACAACTTGAGGGGTGGGGGTAAGAGTCCTGACTGCCGCACAGTCAAAAATCCAAGTGTAACTTTTGACTCCCCACAGACACCAGCATCCACCGACACTCCAGTCCCGCAGGTAAAGCGGCGTAAGAGCGGTGCAGACCGCTGGTCCTCCGCACCCGCGGGCTCCCAGTCGTGGATGCAGCCCCCTGGGGTGGGGGCGCCGACGGTGTATTTACTGAAAAAAAATCCACGTATAAGTGGATCATGTTGTTGAAGGGTCAAGTGTAGTTTGCATGTGGCCTGCAAAGCCACAAATACTTCTGGCTCTATACCAAAAAAAAAGAAACAAAACATTAGCTGACCCCAGGCATGTATTCTCTCATTCAGTCCCATGAAGTGGGGCTGGAGCTACATCAATGAACAAAGAAAAAATGGGGGAGACAGACTAAAGACAGCTCTAAGCAGACGATTTAGCAGACTGGGAGAGACCACGTGTGTGAAGAAGAGGGAGCAGGTGAGGGGCCCGGACCTTCCGGGGCAGCAGCAGGCCCCCAGGAGAAGGTGAGATTTGAAAGACTAGGGAGAGGCGAGGGAGTGGGCCTCGTGGATACCCAGGGAAAGGGGGTTCCAGGCAGAGGCCATCGCAAGTGGGAAGGCCCCGAGGCAAGGCTCTGCCTGGCATGGTTGGGGGACTGCAGGTCACGGCCGGAGCGCTGTGCGCGACGGGGAGAAGAGGGGGAGGTGAGGTCAGTGACGAAGCAGAGGCTGCATCCTGAAGAGCTTGGAGGCCACAGTAGGTCTTTATTCCAAGTGACCTGTGGTGTCATGCCAGGTGTCTCTACTTTCCAGAGATTGGACGGGCCCATAGCTACTCAATGATGGGGCAGGACCTCGGTTCCCCCCAACCCGGTCCTCAAGCCAGTGCGATCCCTGTACCCCGACGTCTATGCTCTCTCTGCAGACCAGGGCCCGCCCCCGAGGGACGGCAGCGGGCAGGCCCTGTGGTCCCTGCCCAGACAGGCTGCGGCTGGGATGGGCCCCGCAAGTGCAGGCACAGTGGGCATTCCTGCGGCTGAGGCCAGGGCCTCTGGAGGCCGGCCGGACACACGTACTTGGGACGGCTGCAGCCCAGGGCCATCAGCCGGGGCGGCCCCGGCCCCTCCCAGGCCAAGCCCAGCATCCAGTGCCGCCTGTTTACTTCATCTGGCAGCCCCAGCCTTGACATCAATGGGTTGCTTCCTATTTTATAGGCGAGTGAACTGCGTCACCCTCCTCACAAAGTGGAGTTTGAAGTGTTGCGTCCCGGCGGCTCTAGCGCGGCACGGCAGTGGTCAGGCGCCCGGCCCGAGAGGCCGAGGCCTGGGTTCTAGCCGTGACCGCTGCCTGACCCAGCATGACCTTTAGCACGTGGCCCCCTCTCTAGGTCTCATGGTCCCATCTACACCTCGGGGCTGCGCTGCACCCTCCTCCATTCCGGGAGTCCCACCCAAGCCCCCCATTGAAGGCTGCTCTGAGTGCGAGCTATAAACCCTACCGCAGGATATCAACAGGTTGAAACCGGGGACAAAAGAACCCCCCAGGCCCACGACTCAGCCCCTCCAGACCCCAGTGCGGCCCCCCTCCTCTTGCCTCTGTCCTCTCCAGCCTGTCCTCTGGGAGGCGCCAGAGGCACTAACAAATGTGACTCGGTCGCCACCTCCCTTAAAGCGCCAGTGCCGCCGGGCCACTTGGACCCCTTGCAGCAGGGCCCCCAGCCTCCTCCCTCACTGCCGCCCTCTGGGCTGGGGTGGGACCCTGGCAGCCCCAGAGCCAGGCGGGCCCCCACGTCTGTTCTGTGTGGCTGCTGGAGCACCTCGGTCCCCACCACTCCCTGTCACCTCCCTCCCCGCTCCTCCTCACAGTTTCTGCTGGTGCCGAAGTGCCTGACCTAGAGACCCGCAGCGTCCAGGCCTCCTGACCCGACGCGTCCTCCGCGCCCCACCTCTCTCCTTGGCATGTGCCCCGCCATGTCCTCTCACTATTCCTTTCTCCCTTAAAGCCCAACTGAGGTGCCACCCCAGCAGGCCCAGCCACCTCTGAGGTCCACGCTTGTCCTTCCTGTGACACATCCGCCTCTCACTGCAGTGCCAGCCCCTGGTCCCAGGGGAGACGGGGGTGCAGTGGGGGGAGGGGGGTGCTAGAAAACTTGGGGGCGGGGTAAGGGCAGGAGTAGAAAACTCTACGCTGGGCCCTATGGCAACGCAGAGCCAGGCCCTCTGCTCTGGGAAACCATGAGGCAGGAAACCTCTAATGATACTGCGAGCGTCTAGTAAGGAAGGCAGAGCGACAACACCTGCTTGCTGACTGTCCCTGGAAACCTGCCCACAAGAACAACGAGATGCCCTGGGGACCCTGGGGCTGTCTTGTGGGTGCCCAGCACTGGCCAGGCCCAGCAAGGCTCCAGGGATCTGCAGAGGGGCCCCCAGCCACGGCTCCCACACCCAGGTCAGATGCCAGGTCAGACCGCAGTGGGGGCCCGTGAGGGGTCCAGGGAGACCGCAGACCCAGCCCAGGCCGGCTGGCGCGCAGTCACTCTCCCAGGGCCTCATTCCCTGCCCGCCCTGCACGCCCTGCCCACAGCTCCTGGCTGAGCAGCAAGGCCTCCCCGCGCTCCACAAAGCCGATGACGTGCCTGGGGTTCCGGGTCCCAGTGCCCTCTCCACCAGCGAGGAGAACGCCGGCCTCACGGAGCGCCTCCCAGAGCCCCACAGACTGGCCTTCCTCACCCTCCACTGCAGCCATGAGGGTGGGCCCGCCTCGGTCTGCCGCCAGGGTCGCAGCCGAGGCTCAGGCTCGTCCAGATTCACCCAGCCGGAGCAGCCGATCCAGGCCTCTGGCCCGGGGCCCTGCCTCCTGAGCCCTGCCGGCAGGTGGAGCAGAAGGAGGCTGGCTGGCCCTAGGGGAGTGGACACCAGAAGCCCCTCCCTGGGCCTCGGCGTCCCCATCTGTGAAGTTAGGGGCTTGGACAAGACCGGCCACCAGCCAGTCCTGACTGCAGTCAGCGGCACTTTCTGCTCTTGACCTTCCAGCGGGGCCGGGGCCAGGTCCCCGGGAAAGCGGCCTGGAAGCGCCCACTGCAGTGGCGCCCTGATGCCAGGCAGACGCTGCTCGGATCAGTGTGTGGAGAGCTGCCCAGACCCAGGGGAGAGGCCGGAGCAGGCTCCTTGCAGGCTCTGAACCTCGGCCCAGACCGCGCGGACCCTCAGCGCCCCCTAGCGGGCAGTGCCAGCTCAGGCGGTGCAGGCCCAGGACGACCGGAGGCTGCCAGGGGACACCAATCCGATACCGAGTACCCCTCTAGCCCTCCAAGGCTAGAACCTGGGGTGAATCAGAAGTCACAGAACCTACGTTCTCCCCCCAGCTATGCCGGCTGCGGAGCCTACTGGGGGCCCCGGACCCGCTGTCGCAAACTCACGGTGAGACCCTAGGTGCATCATTGACCGTTTCCCCAGATGTTAAACAAGGCAGAAGTGGACGAGAGGATGTCAGGTCCGTCTGAGGGCCCCCAGGGCAGGATGTTTCCAGGCCATGGCCCAAAGCCAGGGCGGGCAGCTCACCGATATCTTGGTGAAGACCGACAGCAGCAGGGACAGCACAGACAGGTACGTGCGGATCCGCTGGCCTCCGTAGCGCTTCTGAATGTACTCAGGCATGGTCACGATCTGGGGAGGCGGGTGGGGGCTCAGCGCTCTGCTGGGACCGTGCCCAGCGTCCAGGGCCTGCAGGGCTGCAGCCGCCCAGGGCCAGGCGCAGGCCACAGTGAGCTTGGAGCCCCAGGCTCTGGGTCTGGCCACCCCCAAGGGCTTTAGGCAGGGGAGGGGCAGGCTCAGGTGGGCTCTTCAAGGCCGATATGAGGAATGGACTCGAGGGGCCCGAGCTGGGGACAGAGGGGCACATAGGGAAGCTGTTATGACAAAACCAGGTGAGCTACGTTGAGACTAGATGGAGAAGGTGGCTGCAAGGGGACAGACGGAGAGACATGGAGTCCCCCCGACTCAGGGACGGCTCAGCTGGGGCTAAAGGACTGGCAGAGTGAGGGACAGTGCTGCCCGGCGTGCCATCCGGGCGTGCTGCCGGGCCTGAGTGCCCAGGTAGGGGGAGGCTCATCCCCGAGGTGGCGCGTGCAAGGGCAACGGAGGCCGCGGGCAGGTACTGGGCTGATGCCCCAGGGGCCCTGCCTTTGTGGGTTGATCGGAATGTGAATTGGACTGATAACAAACACAGCTCTGAGAGTTTGCCAGCTTATGAGGGAAGCCGGGGGTCCTGCTCATCGTCACTGCCAAACCGGAGCAGGGCCAGGCCCACGCGAGGCTGCTCTGAGGCCCCGGGAGCAGACTCACCTCCGAGGAGATGTAGATCGGCACAAACACCCACGCCAGGGCCAGCAGCACGTACGTGGCCTGTGGGGCAGAGGCCGGGTGAGGACAGTGGGCACAGCTCCTGCAAGCCCTGCCCCGAGCAGAACCGGGACAGCGGTCGGGAGGCCTGAGGCGCGTGAGCACGCAGCGCAACCCCTCCCGTCCCTCCACCACTGTGAACAGACGGCTGGCTGAGGCCAGCAGACACGGCGGGGGCCCTGCTGCAAGGAGCACAGGCAGGCACCGGCCAACCCAAGCGGCTGGGAGGCGCTGAGGGGCGGGCTCCAGGGGGCCCCCCTTCGAGACGGTTGCACCCTCCCGCAGCAGCCCGTGCCCGCCCTCCAGAGCTCACGTTCCACTCGAAGCCCGCCACGGCCACGCCCCCAGCCGCGCCTGAGCCTGCCAGTCCCACAAAAAGGCCTGAGCCCTCGCTGCTGGCAAAGAGGGAGGCTCCGATCTGCAGGGGAGAGAGGAAACGGGATCAGCTGCCGGCACCTGGACTCCAAGCCCCGGCCCTTCCCCCAGCTTCCGGCGCCCCACTCCTGCACCCCCAGCTTGGGGACGCCCTGACCGCCTCAGCCTGCCCCTTTGCCACCTGCCCGAGCGTGAGCCGGCCTGGGCAGTGACCTCAGGGTGGCGGGTGCTGGCTGGCCTGGGGCTCAGAGATGGCCCCGCGGAAAGGAGGGGCGGGAGGAGTCGGGGCGCACTCACCGGCCACCACGTCATGTCCCGGCCTGCCAGGAAGTAGCCGCTCACGGTGTTCCTGCTGGCTCGACAGGAGGACTGCAAGGACAGAGCAGAAATGGGGACCCTTGTGCGTTGCTGGAGGGAGTGTGAAATGGCCCGCTGCTGTGGGGACGCTGGGCCATCCCTCAAAGGGTTACACGTACAATTGCCCCACGGCCGTTCCAGGAGCGTAGCTCAGAGAAGTGAAAACAGGTGTTCAGACAAAACTCATGCACCTGGATGCTCAGAGTAGCAGCATTCACGACAGCTAAAGATAGAAACCACCCAAGTGTCCGTCAGCTGGGGAATGGGTACAAAACGCGGTCTCTCCACACAGTGAAATCTCATCCAACCAGACAAAGGGATGAAATACTAATACGTGAAAACATTCTGTTAAGTGAAAAAAGTCAGGCACAAAAGGCCACGTGCAGTGTGGTTCTGGTTACGTGGATGTCCAGAACAGGCGAATCCACGAAGACAGAAAGCAGGCGGGGGCTGCCAGGAGTCAGGAGGCGGGGTGGTGGCGGGACTATGCAGAGCGGCTGCTTACAGGTCGGGGTTTCCTTTTGGGGCGATGCAAACGTTTTGGAACTAGGTAGAGGTAATGGTTGTACGACACTGTGAGTGTACTAAATGCCACTGAACGGTACACTGTAAAATGGTTAAAATGCTGAGTTTTAACACCGGCAGCCAGCACCCCCTCCTCAGCCCAGTGTCCCTGCCCCTGGGCTCAGCGGTCAGCTCCCCCAGGGCTTCTGCCGTGGCCAGCCTTCTGCAGGCCATGGCCCCCCCGGGCCCCCCCATCCCCGGGAGCTCTGGGCCTGGGGGAGGGGTGGGGCTGCTGCCCATGAGCCCCACCGCCCACCATTGGACGGGGTCGCGCATCTGCCTGAGCCAGGCTCCCTCATGCTTCTTATCCTTGACCAGCCAAACAGCCTCCAGGCGGTTACGGTGGCCCCGAAGGTCAGGTCTAAGTTTTGACCTTCCCGAGAGCATTCCTCAGTGAGCAGCTAAACTGGCCCTTTCTTTGAGCCAAAGAATCTGAGAGTCCTTTGGTCTTGATTTCTTTTTTAAAAAAATTTATTTTATTTTTTAATTTAGAGAGAGGGGAAGGGAGAGAGAAGAAGAGGGAGGGAAGCGTTGATCGGCTGTCTTTGTACCAGCCCCGACGAGGACTGAACCTGCAACCCAGGCATGTGCCCTGCCCGGGAATCGAGCAGGCGACGTTTGGGTTTGCGGGGCGGCGTCCGACCAGCTGGGCCAGCCGGCCAGGGCTGGTCTTGCTTTCTTATTTCTAATATTTACGTTTCTGGTACATGTCAACAAATTATCACCTGAGTATTTATTCCTGCATGACTTTTGTTTGGGGAGAGTATAGATTTTGTGCTCCATGTGTATGGAATTGTAAAAATCTGAAATCAGAATGCTTGGGGCAAATCCTGGCTCCTTCTGGCCATGTGACCTCGGGCAAGTGACTTAACCTATGCACCTCCGTTTCCTCTTCTGCACTGTTTCCTAGTAACAGTTCTCCCCTCGCAGGGTTTTTACGAGGTCAGTGAGTTAATCCATGTAACACTCTGACGATAGTGCTGGGACCGGCCGCATGTTCACTAAGGGTCAGTGCTCAGGGGGTTTTTTCAAGCCCCCATTCAGTGCTACCTGGAGGAGAGGAATCAAAAAGGTATAAACTTGAAAACAGAAGAAATTTGGAAAGAGGGACACGGAGGTGTATTTAGACAGATATTTTACATTCCTTTTTCACAGCACACATATCATAACATAAGGCTAGATCACAAAATACCAGTCGCTATGCAGGCTTCTTTCTTCCTGACTTTGCCTGCACCCTATATCCAAGGTGGTTAAGCCAACTGGCCCGGCCTACTATTCACAGCTTTTGAGGCGGCTACTTCACACTTTTCTCCGGCCCCAACCCCCCCTGCTTTCTCTCCGCCCCGTGGGTGGCCCTGCCGTGCTGGGCACAGGTCCCAGCAGGAGGGGCCGGGCACCGCACAACTCCAGAGCGGCTCCAGCCTTAACCCAGGCTCTCCCCAACCCTCCACCTTTCAAGGATACAGGGAGCGTTGCCAACTGCCTCCTTATTTCTCGTTTGCTTCCTAAAGAAGCCTGTCTTCCCCAGCAATTGGCTTGAGCAGGCCCAACCCAACCTGAAGCTTCTGGGGTCCTGAGCCCATCCCATTCCTTAGCGGCCACACCTGGTTCGGGGCCAGTCACTGCCTTGGACGAGGAGCCGGGGCCCTGCGGCTGCCGGCAGCCGCGCACCCCTAGTTAGTATCCACGCAGCGCCCCTCTGCGGCAGAGCGGGTTCCAAGTGCTTTTCCTACATGACATGAGTACCATCGTCACCCCCCTATTACCAACAAGGCAACAAGGCTTTCAGAGGTGGAAGGACACACGGTTAGTAAGTGGCGGAGTCAGAATTTAAACCCAGGCTCAACCACTAGGCTGGACATTTTGCCCCCTAGAGGGAAACTCGGCTTGGGACAAAGCCACAGGTGGGCGGAGGCTGAGAGAACCACGGGGACCTGCAGCCCTGGGTCGCGCTGTACCTGAAGGCATCACTGTTGCTGCACTTTTCAGTGCGGATGTCATTACCTTTTCTTCACTGTTAAGCTCATTGGAAATCGGTTTTCTGTCCCTTGATAACAGACACCCTCACGGGTGCCAAGGTTTAGCTCAGGGTCCTCTCCCCCTGGAAGCCCTTCCCTCCTGCGAGCCCTCCCTCTGCACCTCCCCCCCACTCTCCTGACCTCACCGTGATCAGGGCAGCTTCGCGGAGCTGTACCTGCCCCGTTTGCTCTGCCTCTGGCCCATGAGCACCTACAACCCTGTGTGGCCTGGCTCTTGCACCCTCCTCACTGAGCCTTGCCCCTGTCTGCATGTGCTCACAGCCATCTGCCAGCAGCACCCAGCTGGGCTGGCACGCACTGTGAAGGGGATGGGTCCGCACTCCCAAAACCTCCCACTGCCTGAGCAACGGCCAGGCTGAGCGGGGTGAGGTGGATACTGGGAAGCAAGCACACAGGGGCCCGAGTCACTCGGCAGCCTACAGTCTGGCAGCTTTTCCAACTCAGTGCCCGCCGGTGCTGGCTGGGGAAGCTCTCCCTCTGCCTCCCTCCTCACCTCTCCCCTCACGAGACCTTGCTGACCTCTCGGCCGGGCTCTCTCTCACCTCGTCTTGTCCAGAAAGCCTCAGGGCCCATTCTGTGCACGTGCCCCTCCTCCGCACACCCAGCTCTCCCAGGAACGCTGCCCACTAGGGCGGCACTAGACACACACACCCAGGGACCTGTGCGCTCCTCGACACAGCCCAGGGAGCCGGGCCGCACGGACATTCGCCTGTGTGTCCGAGGAAGGTGAGACACGAGAGCTAAGAAATGGACTCCAAGTACAGAGAGTCAGGGCCAGAGCCCGGCTTTCCAGACACCGCCAGTGTGACTCGCCATTTATAGTTCTTTTTAACTTTTAAAAAATGTATTGATTGATTTTTAGAGAGAGAAGAATGGAGAGAGAGTGAAACATCAATTTGTTGTTCCACCTATTTATGCGTTTATTGGTTGATTCTTGTGTGAGCCTAGACCTGGGATCGAACCCACACCCTTGGCGTGTCAGGATGATGCTCTAACCAAAAGGGCTACCTGGTTAGAACGGTGACTTATCATTTAATCAGAGAAGAATCAACTTCAATTACTGCTGCTGTTGTTGTTGCTATTACTATTACCACAACTATCACCACCAATTACCACCAGCGTGACACCATTACAGGACCACCACCACCACCACCATCTCTACCACCACCACCACCTCCACCACCACCATCTCTACCACCTCCACCTCCTCCACCACCTCCATCTCTACCACCTCCACCACCATCTCTACCAACACCATCTCTACCACCTCCACCACCTCCACCACCACCACCTCCACCACCACCACCTCTGCCACCACCACCACCTCCACCACCTCCATCTCTAACACCTCCACCACCTCCACCTCCTCCATCTCTACCACCTCCACCAATATCTCTACTACCACCATCTCTACCACCACCACCACCTCCACCACCTCCATCTCTACCACCTCCACCACCTCCACCACCACCACCTCCACCACCACCATCTCTACCACCACCACCACCTCCACCACCTCCATCTCTACCACCTCCACCACCTCCACCACCACCACCTCCACCACCACCATCTCTACCACCACCACCACCTCCACCACCTCCATCTCTACCACCTCCACCACCACCACCACCTCCACCACCACCATCTCTACCACCTCCACCACCATCTCTACCACCACCACCTTAACCACCACCACCTCCACCACCACCATCTCTACCACCTCCACCACCATCTCTACCAACCATCTCTACCACCTCTACCACCTCCACCACCTCCATCTCTACCACCTCCACCACCATCTCTACCACCACCATCTCTACCACCTCTACCACCTCCACCACCACCATCTCTACCACCTCCACCACCTCCACCACCACCACCTCCACCACCACCATCTCTACCACCACCACCACCTCCACCACCACCATCTCTACCACCTCCACCACCATCTCTACCACCACCACCTCTACCACCACCACCACCTCCACCACCACCATCTCTACCACCTCCACCACCATCTCTACCACCACCATCTCTACCACCTCCACCACCTCCACCACCTCCATCTCTACCACCTCCACCACCATCTCTACCAACACCATCTCTACCACCTCTACCACCTCCACCACCACCACCTCCACCACCACCACCTCTACCACCACCATCTCTACCACCTCTACCACCTCCACCACCACCATCTCTACCACCTCCACCACCTCCACCACCACCACCTCCACCACCACCACCTCTGCCACCACCACCACCTCCACCACCTCCATCTCTAACACCTCCACCACCTCCACCTCCTCCATCTCTACCACCTCCACCAATATCTCTACTACCACCATCTCTACCACCACCACCACCTCCACCACCTCCATCTCTAACACCTCCACCACCTCCACCTCCTCCATCTCTACCACCTCCACCAATATCTCTACCACCACCATCTCTACCACCACCACCACCTCCACCACCTCCATCTCTACCACCTCCACCACCTCCACCACCACCACCTCGACCACCACCATCTCTACCACCACCACCACCTCCACCACCACCATCTCTACCACCTCCACCACCATCTCTACCACCACCACCTCTACCACCACCACCACCTCCACCACCACCATCTCTACCACCTCCACCACCATCTCTACCACCACCATCTCTACCACCTCTACCACCTCCACCACCTCCATCTCTACCACCTTCACCACCATCTCTACCACCACCATCTCTACCACCTCTACCACCTCCACCACCACCATCTCTACCACCTCCACCACCTCCACCACCACCACCTCCACCACCACCATCTCTACCACCACCACCATCTCCACCACCACCATCTCTACCACCTCCACCACCATCTCTACCACCACCACCTCTACCACCACCACCACCTCCACCACCACCATCTCTACCACCTCCACCACCATCTCTACCACCACCATCTCTACCACCTCCACCACCTCCACCACCTCCATCTCTACCACCTCCACCACCATCTCTACCAACACCATCTCTACCACCTCTACCACCTCCACCACCACCACCTCCACCATCACCACCTCTACCACCACCACCACCTCCACCTCCTCCATCTCTACCACCTCCACCAATATCTCTACTACCACCATCTCTACCTCCACCACCACCTCCACCACCACCATCTTTACCACCTCCACCACCATCTCTACTACCACCATCTCTACCTCCACCACCACCTCCACCACCACCATCTCTACCACCTCCACCACCACCTCCACCACCACCACCTCCACCACCTCCATCTCTACCACCTCCACCACCGCCACCACCTCCAACACCTCCACCACCACCATCTCTACCACCTCCACCACCTCCACCACCACCATCTCTACCACCTCCACCACCATCTCTACCACCACCATCTCTACCACCACCACCACCTCCACCACCACCACCTCTACCACCACCACCACCTCCACCACCACCACCTCCACCACCACCACCTCCACCACCTCCATCTCTACCACCTCCACCACCGCCACCACCTCCAACACCTCCACCACCACCATCTCTACCACCTCCACCACCTCCACCACCACCATCTCTACCACCTCCACCACCATCTCTACCACCACCACCTCTACCACCACCACCTCCACCACCACCATCTCTACCACCTCCACCACCATCTCTACCACCACCATCTCTACCACCACCACCACCTCCACCACCACCACCTCTACCACCACCACCACCTCCACCACCACCACCTCCACCACCACCACCTCCACCACCACCACCACCTCCACCACCACCATCTCTACCACCACCACCACCTCCACCACCACCACCTCCACCACCACCACCTCCACCACCACCACCTCCACCACCTCCACCACCTCCACCACCACCACCTCTACCACCACCACCACCTCCACCACCACCATCTCTACCACCTCCACCACCTCCACCACCACCATCTCTACCACCACCACCACCTCCACCACCACCATCTCTACCACCTCCACCACCTCCACCACCACCATCTCTACCACCACCACCACCTCCATCACCACCACCTCCACCACCACCACCTCCACCACCACCACCTCCACCACCTCCACCACCTCCACCACCACCATCTCTACCACCACCACCACCTCCACCACCACCATCTCTACCACCACCACCACCTCCACCACCACCATCTCTACCACCACCACCACCTCCACCACCACCACCTCCACCACCACCACCTCCACCACCACCACCTCCACCACCTCCACCACCTCCACCACCACCATCTCTACCACCACCACCACCTCCATCACCACCACCTCCACCACCACCACCTCCACCACCACCACCTCCACCACCTCCACCACCTCCACCACCACCATCTCTACCACCTCCACCACCTCCACCACCACCACCTCCACCACCTCCACCACCTCCACCACCACCATCTCTACCACCTCCACCACCTCCACCACCACCATCTCTACCACCACCACCACCTCCACCACCACCACCTCCACCACCACCACCTCCACCACCACCACCTCCACCACCACCACCTCCACCACCACCACCTCCACCACCTCCACCACCTCCACCACCACCACCTCCACCTCCACCACCTCCACCACCACCATCTCTACCACCACCACCGCCTCCACCACCACCACCTCCACCACCTCCATCTCTACCACCTCCACCACCATCTCTACCACCACCATCTCTACCACCACCACCACCTCCACCACCACCATCTCTACCACCACCACCACCATCTCTACCACCTCCACCACCTCCACCACCTCCATCTCTACCACCACCACAACCACCACCAGCACTGCTGCTCCTATGGCAGCAGGGGCCAACGCGTTAGGCCGATTTCCCTCCACCTCAGGGAGTTGGGACAAAGGACGATCTAGGTGAGTAGTGTGTCCATCTTACAGCCCAAAACCTCGAGGGCCAGAAAGCCAAGCAGCTTCCTAGGATGCCAGAGCAGCAGACACAGCCATTCTCTCCTCCGCAGCCCCAGGTTAGTTCTGGCACCCAAGAAGATAAGAAGGGGTGCTCTTTCTTCCCAGGACATGAAGACCAGAACATATCAAGGCTCGAGGATGCTGGCCTGGGGACCCTTGGTACTTGGACAGTAAGGCCCAAAGCTGGCCGGCCTGCTGTGTGCACCTCCAGGTCAGGAAGTCCTCAGAGGTCAGCAGAACACATAACACAGGACCCTGGTTCACAAGGTCCTGGGGCCCCCTGCGGTCCCCCGGCTCTCCTGCCCATGGGGCCATTGGCATGGCGTCTGCATCGCGGCCCCCCCCCCGGCCACTGGATTCTGTGATGGCTCTAATCATGTCTCTTTCTTATCAAGGTCAAGAGAAACTGGCCTCTGGATTGGGCTAGGTGGCAAACACAGGTGCCCCGGGGAGCTTGTTAAAAATCAAGACTGCCCCTCCCCCACCTCCTGGTTCTGACCCAGCCGATCTAGGGGACAGCCAGGAGCCCGTGTGATGCTGTGGTTCGGGTAGATGTTCACTCGTGAGCCCACCCACACGGAGGAGAGAGACATCAGGAAGATGGTGCGCTGCCGCCAGGCCCCCACCCTGTAAAGCCCACTGAGCCTCCGCGGCGGCTGTCCCTTAGACCATCCTCTTCCTCCCTTTGTGGGTTGAGATTCCATTGACCAAAGAGAGAAAGGATGTTGGTTCTCCAACAAATCGACCCCAGGCCTGAGAGCAGGACCCCCGAGGGCCCCAGCCGCCTGGGGAGAGGATGGGGAGGCCGCCGGGACGTGCTGCCCAGCCCCACACCCGGCGCGGTCCTCTCACCCATATGCCCACGGCCACGTTCAGGGCGAAGTACACCGCGATGACGGCGATGTCGGCCGAGCTCAGCTGCGACTGCGGCGCATGCGGGTCGCTGGTGGAGTTGTCCAGCGCCATCCCGCAGCAGGTGCCTCCTTGGAGCCAGAAGGAATGGGGACCAAACCAGGTCGACTATGAGTTCCCGTCAGGGATAAATTGATCATTAAACCGAGCGGGACCATGGCATCTCCAGCCCGTGCTGTGGCCAAGTGCCGGGAAACTGCTTCAAAGTGCAGCTCCGTCTCCTCCACTCCCCCACCCTGACGCCCCACCACTGCTTTGGGGAGAGTTGTGAGGGAGGGTGGAGGAGGGGAGCCTCCTTAAATTTAGAGGAGATTTGGGAAACATAGGAAAGTTTAGTGGATCCAAGGGCAACCAGAATAGTCCCAGGAAGAGCTCAGTAACCAAAGCGCGGTCTGGCCTATATTTAATTCCTGTAAGAAGCACGGAGGGCTGGGGACAGATGCCGCCCCCCTGAGTATACCATCCTGACAGGCAGCTGCATCCGGCAGCCGCTGGGCTGTGAGTGGACCCAGAACCTGGGATGGTGACTGTCACATTATGTGATTTACTTCCGGCCACAGCAGCCCTGGTCTCAAAATGTCCCCATGTTGGACAATAGAGGCCTGTTGCCAGATTTTCTCTTTCTAGACCAGTGAGACAGGCCCAGGCCCCTCACTTTGGCCACCGTCTCGGGTCCCCGTGGCCTTCTCAGGCACACGGAGGGACCCGACGCCTGGCAAGCGCTTAGCTGTTTCACACACTCGTGCTGCGTGCAGCAAACCTGTCGGGAGAGTGACATCCTGTCACAGCCAGGAGCGGAGGCCAGGAGGCTGAGCGCCTGTCATCGCCACCTGGGGGGCCGGGCTGGGATGCCGCTCCAGCCGGCCCGGAACCTCCCCGTGGGTGGCAGTGACGGCTGCGGTTCCGCCAGATGCCATCGGGCCCGTCCTGCTGCGATACTCGCTTCCCGACCAGATCGGCATGCGGAGCCCGGCGGCACCTCGGTGGCGTGGCCTCGGGAGCGCAGCCAGGACACTTAACCCACCCAGGGGTGATCACGGGTGAGCGGCGCCCCTGGAACAGGCTGGCCTGCCAAACCAACAGTGCCTGTTACTCAGTAACCAGGGCTTAACGCACACGCAGGCCGCGGCAGGGTCACTGCTTGTCAGAAGCCCAAGAAGGCTGGGGCTCCCTCACCACCTCCACCCTCAGCCAGCTAAGCTCTCAGGTGGCGTTCACTTCCCAGGCCGTTGCTCGACGCGTATCGTAAATCAAAAGGTCGCTTAGTGCCCGTCAGAAGGACCCAGATTTATTAAACCAGTCTCCTAAAGATAAAGCAGTAGAAAAAATAATATTTGGTCCCCTCTCCTCGGCCTGGGTCTCAGAAGGAAATAAATCATTAGCGATAACCCTTCTGACCTAAGGTCCTGGACGAAGGTAGTGGGTCTGCAGGAGCTGATGGGTGGGCCCAGGAAAGGGGCAGTGGGGGACACGAGGGAGAAATTCCGCACTCAGGCCCACTCACGCTCTACGCGCCCACCCCACCTGACCCAGCATGAGCACACTCACAGACCCGACTCCGCTGGTTCAACTCGCCCCGGACAAGAACGCCCGGGACCTGCCCAGCCACGGGGCCGACTGCCTGACACCCCCGTAAGCTGTGTGCACCCCAAGAGAGAGCACCCAAGACGTGCTTTCAAACCCCAGCCTGACAGCTAAGCTGTGGGGCTTTCCACACTGGCCAACTCTCTGTCTCTGTGGACGTGACTGGCCATCTTGCAATTCGGTTCGGTTCGCTTGACACAGCGCGGCTCACAGAGCAGGGCTCAGCCCACGAGACCGTGCCACTTCCGACACCGGCCGCGAGCCCTGCGCCTCCGTGCTTCTGACCAGCTGTCTATGAATCGGGGGTTCCCGCAAGCCCCTCTTCAGCTTGACAATTTGCTAGAACTGCTCACAGAACTCAGGGAAACACCTCACTCTTAGTGGCTTTTATTAAGGACACAATGAAGGATAAAGGCGAACAGCCAGACACAGAGGTATGTAGAGCGAGGTCCAGGAGGGCCCTGAGCACCGGAGCTTCTGTCCCCAAGGAGCCTGACACATGGGTGCGTTCACTGACCTGAAAGCTCTCCAAACCCACTTGCTGTGTGGGTTTTTGGAGGCTCCGGTGCGTAGGCACGACGTGTTGAGTCCCCGGCCATTGGTGACTAAGCCCAGTCTCCAGCTGCTCTCCTGGAGGGGGTGGGGGTGGGGCAGTTTCCTACCCTCTAATCATGCCCTGGTTTTTCGGGTGACCATTCCCCACCCTTAAATTACCCGGGGGCTCCCCCGATGCCTGTTATCTCATTGTCATACAAAAGACACTCTCACCACTCTGGAAGTTCCGTGGGCTGTAGGAGCTGTGGGCCAGCATTTGGGTCGGACACATCCTAACAGCAGCCGGCCCCGGCTGGGCGGCGCGCGCTACGGCGGGGGAAACCGCAGAGCGTGGGTGCGCGGCGGGCCACGCCGCCCAGGCCGCGTGAGTGCACTCCGCGGTGTGTACACCCCTACAGAGTCACCGCAGAACGAGTCCCTGTCGCTAAGTGGCACAGTCGCATTCGTTTTTTACCATGTTACTCCCCAGACTCGTGAAACTACATCCTTGGCCTAAGGAGTGGGGGCTGGGCGGGAGGGCTGGACGCTGGCTCCCTTCCTGGGGGTGGGGACGCAGGCATCTGCAGGTTTATTTCCTTCCTTAGTGCCTCAGAATTGTGCAGGGGGTTTGTCCCAGCTGAACTGTGTGGATGAGCTCGAAGGAACCGAAACACGAGAGATGTTTGCTCGCAGTTTGCTGCCCCAGCTCATGGACTGTGCCCTGCCGCTGGCTTAGCGTCTCTTCCTATTTAATGTCATGGGCCTGTCTGTCCCTCTAGAAACACACACGTGTCCACGGCAGCGTGTGTAAGAAAGTGCAAGGTAGCAGAAGGTTGAAAATTGCCTAAATATCCACTTAGAGGGAGGGCAGAGTGACTCAGTACCTCCACGGAATGCTGTGATCATTAAAAACACGAGGTGGCTTTATATAATGACACTGCGGATGGTACATGTTTAAGTGAAAAAAGCAAGTTGCAGAAAGCGTGCCCACTCATCCCCTCGTACGTACAGAGGAGTGTGTCCCCATGACCAACCGCGGTGCGCAGAGGGGGTGGATGTGCGCCGTCCTGCTAATGGCAGGGCGGGGCTGAGGGTGGGCGAAGAGAATTACCCCTTCCCCCACTGCCCCCACAGGCGCCCGGGCGCAGCGTCAGCTCCCTGTCCTGGGCCGCTCCAGGCTGTTTCCCGCAGCGGGTAGAGAAGCCCTAAGCAGCACTTTGCTGGAAAGGGTCCTGAGCTCTTCTGTTACTGGCCTGAGCCCAGGCAGCTGGCACTGCCCGCTTCCCTCGGCTCAGTGGGCTCAGCCGTCCTGCTGGCCGCTTGCCGACCCGTGCGCCCCGGCTCTTCGCGTCCGGACGCCCATTGGCCGCCCTCAGACTCCACAGCCCAAACCTACCCTTCTCCAGAGCTTCGTAGGCGACACCACTGGCCACCCCGGTCGGGGTCCTGGGGCTGGCCCGGAGCGCGAGCATCCCCGCTTTCTTCTGAGATGACCCCACGTGCCCCGGCCCCCTGCCACCCCTCCCAGCTCTTCAGTGGATGGAACAAAGGAAGCACAGAGAAATTAAGTAACTTGCTCAAGGTCACAGAGCCACGTAAGTGGCAGAGAAGGGGTGAAGGCCGAATCATCTCGGTCTTGAGCCTCCCTGTGAAAGCCCACGACAGGCACTCGGTGTGAACACACGGCCCCCCACGCGCGGTCCGCTCCTCCGGGCCGCTGGACCCGAGATACTTCTTCAGTCTTGCCAGGAGCTCACAGCCTGAATGGTCGCCCTGCATTAGGTCTCACTTTTTTTTTTTTTTTAGGTCTGTTCTTACTTGTTACTCTCAGAAATCTCATTTGTGACTGGACTCAGAGGTAGGACCTCTCAGAGAGAACAGCCTATCTTTCCTGGCAACCTGTTCCCAGCATTTTTCTTCGGCCTCCTGCATTTCTCTTAGCCAAAAATTTAGCATCTTCTGCAGCCTCTTCCTTATTTTTCTTCACACGCTCTTTCTTGAGAGCAACACGCTGACGTCTGTGCTGCCGATGCCCATGGTGACAAGACGTTGAACCTTGGGTGCTTTGGTCCTGGGTTGGTCACCGTCTTGTTTAGGGGCTTTCTCGCTGTGTGTGGGTGGACACCACCCTCTTTAGAGAGACTGGAACATCTCTGGATTCTGCCAGCTCTTTTGGGCTCCAGGCGACGAGACACAGTAGTATCAGTGAGACCAGGAATATCTTCCCTGCTTTTTCACGATGACCGGGGTGAGAACACGATGACTGGGGTGGCATCCACCCCAAACAGACTTGCACTCTCTCTCCAGTGCCGCTGGCCTGCGACAGGGATGCTCACTCGGTGGCAGGCACACGCAGCCCTGGCCGACGTCACCCCGCTTCCTGGGGAAGCCTTGTTTGTCGTTCCCACCGCTGATTCAAACCACATCACCCTTCCGTTCTTCACCCAGGGCGTCAGCAGCGACTTCCGGGGCCTCACGCTTCTCATAAAAGGCACCGCGTGTGCGTCCACCGCCCCCTTCAGTGAGTTTCTGGCAGCCTGTGGCCGCGAAGGGCATGTTCGGCTTCATCCCGAGGCAGCCAATCGCCTGTGAGGTGCCACGGGAAAGAGCCGGTCTCCCCTTGTGACCCACCCACCAGGCGCAGCATGTCAGAATGACCTACTAACCTAATCCCTGGCACGGCACACCTGTGTAAAGGTTACCTCTCAAAGGCCCTCGCTACTCGCTAGGTCAAACGCAGGGCCTCGGGCCCGCACACGCCCGGCCCCCTCCTGCTGCTCCCGGCTCCGCAGCAGCCCCTCTGTTCCACGCCTCGCTGCCCTGGGCTCCCACGGCTGCCCCCCGGGGAGCTTCAAGGCTGTGCCTCCCTGCGCCCGTCTGCTTCGCGGCCGGGCTGCCGCCCTGCTCGGGCGCTGCCGGTGCTGCGGGCCCCGCAT